TGTGTGTGTGTGTGTGGGTGGGTGTGGCTGCAGGCAAGCTTGGTCCTTCTCGCAACTGCGACTCTTTTTTCTTGTGCCCCTCGCACAGTGGTGTTTTGCGGCATTCTCACTCTTTCCTTTCCCCTGTTGCGTGACGGCCAAGCTATAGCCAGGTGTGTAAGAGCTCAATCCAATGCCGCGGCCTTTTGGTGTCTGGGCGCCCGCGACAACCCTCGCGGAGTACCGAGCGCGTCTGCCAAGCTTCAGGGCGTTCTCCCTGAGGTGGGTGTGGGGCGGGCGGCGCGAGGTGTACTACCACCCCGAGGCCCTCGCACACTTCAAGGACCACCAGCAGTACAAGGACGCCGTCGACACCGTTCGCGCAATGCAGGTCTCCGATAAGTTCTTCGGCGAGGGAACAAAGCTTCCGCGCCACCCAATCTTGAAGTTGATGGTATCATTTGGGCTGTACGCCTCTGTTGTCTACGCTGGCCTGCGCTACTACTACGGCGTGTATGTGCCTGCGAACAACCCGACGTGGCGTAAGGTGGTGAACAAGGAGTGGGAGGAGGCTATCAACAACTCGCCATGGGACCACATGTCGCACGTGTGGCAGTACAGCGACCAGTACGCGTCAGTGATTGGCGAGGCCGGCTCACCTGGCCCACGGAAGTTCTACATCCCCGCGTAATGTGGATGACACTGCGGTGGGTCGCATACAAGTGAGGGTGTGTGTAGACCGGTTTGAGCTGCTATCTGTGACTGCGTGTGGGGACGTGTGGGGACTGCAGGAAAGAGTCAGAGCGAGGCGGCAGACGTGTGTCGGGGTGGCGGTGTATCATCTGCTACCACGACTCCTATGACCACTACCGATGCTATTGCTGCTGCTGAGGCAGTAACGTTAGGTGGGAGTGTGGGAGACCCGCCAAGCTCCCCCACTTGCTTTATAGGGACACAGTGGCTATTGATGGGAAGAAAACTATTGGGTAGGAAGGACTTCTCTTTTTTTTTTTTCGGGGGGCGTATATGTGTGTGCGTGTGATTTTGGCACAGTTAAATTGTTCTGCCTTTGTAGGAATTAGAAGGCGAAGATAGTAGTATTGACGAAAGACTTGTTTGAAGAACGGATGCAGTAGTGGAAAAGGCAAGAAACCCACAAAACAAAAAAAACACACACCCACACGCGCTGAGAACGAGGCGCTCATTGTGCGCTGAATGGTACATCTCTGTTCTTTCCTTGCATGTCTCTACTGACGCATAGGCAAGCACACACCCACACCCACACACACAAAGACAAAAGGACCATCTAAACAACTGGTGGGGCAGTTCGACGAGATCAGCATGTTTGTTGCCACCGCCCGTGCCCTCAATGGCAAGCCGCCAGCTATCAAGTGGTTGCAAGACAAAATGCTCATCAATGGCAAATTTGTGCCTGCCGTTTCGGGAAAAATGATGGACGTCATAAACCCGGCGACGGAGGAGGTGTGCGCCCGCGTGGCTGAGGCGGATGCCGCCGATGTGGATCTCGCCGTTACGGCTGCCCGCAAGGCGTTTGACAGTTACCGCACCACCGACGGCGCCTACCGCCGCTCGCTGATGTTGAAACTGGCCAACCTCATCTACCAGCACCGCGAGGAGTTGGCCGCGATTGAGACTCTTGATAATGGCAAGTCGTACAACGCCGCGCTGAACGTGGACCTGCTGCTGATGGAGGAGTGCTTCCGCTACTACGCGGGGTGGGCGGACAAGATCTACGGCCGCGTCGCCCCTGTCAGCGGGTGCAACTTCAGCTTCGTGAAGCGCGAGCCGGTGGGAGTATGCGGGCAGATCATCCCGTGGAACTTCCCACTGCTGATGGCCGCGTGGAAACTCGCCCCCGCCCTTGCGATGGGAAATACCGTCGTGCTAAAGCCGGCAGAGCAGACGCCGCTCGGTGCGCTGCGCCTCGGCGAGCTGCTGATGGAGGCCGGTTATCCCCCGGGCGTCGCTAACATTCTTCCGGGCTTCGGCAGCACTGCCGGCGCACACCTCGTGCGGCACCGCGATGTGGACAAGGTCGCCTTTACCGGCTCCACTGCTGTTGGCCGCCAGATCTTGTGCATGGCGGCGGAGAGCAATCTGAAACGGGTGACGCTCGAGCTCGGCGGCAAGTCGCCGCTCATCGTCTGCGATGACGCCGACCTCGACGCCGCCGTGGACGTGGCCTCGCACGGCGTGTACTTCAACATGGGCCAGGTCTGCACTGCGTCGTCCCGCATCTTTGTCGACGCCAAGGTGCACGACGACTTTGTGGCGCGGCTCAAGGTGGCAGTGGAGAAGCGGCGCGTCGGCCCCGGCAACGACCTCGCAAACGATCAGGGCCCGCTCGTCTCAGCGCGGCAGCAGCAGCGCGTGCTTGAGTACATCGAGAAGGGGAAAGCAGAAAGGGCAACACTCGTCACAGGCGGCGGCAGGCATGGCACCCGCGGCTACTTTGTGCAGCCCACCGTCTTCACGGACGTCACAGACAACATGACAATCGCGCGTGAAGAGATCTTCGGTCCCGTCGCGAGCGTTTTGAAGTTCCACACAATGGAGGAGGCGGTGGAGCGCGCCAACGCAACGACGTACGGCCTCGCCGCCGGCATCTGCACATGCGATCTTGATAAGATCATGCACTACTCATCCTTCCTGAAGGCTGGCACGGTGTGGGTGAACTGCTGGAACCGTTACGATGCCGCCATGCCGTTCGGTGGGTGCAAACAGAGCGGCATCGGCAGGGAGTTGGGGGAGGAGGCGTTGTCCAATTACACGGAGACCAAGTCTGTATTCATCGCGCTAAAGAGTCCGTTTGTCAAGAACTAACTAGATCTGACCCTTTACTTTTTTTATATTTTACTGATACCAGCGAGCGTTTTTTCCCTTTATGTTATACTTGTGTTTGGTTGTTTGACATGCCCGGATCGTTTCCTTTTTCTTTGCGTATATATATATATATATATATCAAAATATGCTTCTTCCCTTCCCCCAGTTGAGTGGGCAGGGGGACCCACGAGAAATCGGCACCCTCTTCCGATGTTGACCTTTTTTTTTTCGTTTGTGTCTTTTGAGGTGGAGTGGGGTGGCGAGAGAGGGATGGCGGGTCCCCCTGCGCGCCGATGCCACGACGGGGGGTGGGGTTGGAGGGTTGGTCTTTGCTGGCAGCTGCGGGTCGTGCCCGACGGCACTTTTCGCAGGTGCGGCAAGAGGCGTCTTTATCTTTTATTTTGTTTGTTTGTTTTTGTTTCGTGGTTTGTGCGAGCGTCTCTCTCTCTCTCTCT